GCGACCATAAGAGTTTAAAGTATTTATTTGATCAGAAAGAATTGAACATGAGACAACGAAGATGGTTAGAGTTGTTAAAATATTATGATTTCGGTTTGAATTATCATCCAGGAAAGGTGAATGTGGTGGCCGATGCGTTAAGTCGAAAGACTTTACATATGTCAGCAATGATGGTTAAAGAGTTGGAATTGATTGAACAGTTCAGAGATATGAGCTTAGTTTGCGAAGTGACACCATATAGTGTTATGTTAGGGATGATGAAGATTAATAATGATTTTCTAGATAGTATCAGAGAAGCTCAAAAGTTAGACATGAAACTGGTAGATTCGATGGTTGAGATCGATCAGTATGAGAATAGTGATTTTAAGTTATATGCGCAAGGTGTGTTGAGATTCTGTAATTGAATTTGTATTCCTGATGGTGCAGAGATGAAGAAAATGATTCTTGAGGAAAGTCATAGAAGCAAGTTAAGCATTCATCCGGGAGCTATAAAAATGTTTCAAGATTTGAAGAATTTGTTTTGGTGGCCTGGGATGAAGAGTGAAATGGCTCGGTTCATGTATGCATGTTTGACTTGTCAGATGTCGAAAGTTGAACATCAGAAGCCTGCAGGGTTGATGCAATCGTTATAAGTTCCAAAATGGAAATGGGATAACATTTCTATAGACTTTGTGACGGGGTTACCTAATACCTCAAGAGGACATGATTCAATTTGGGTGATTTTTGATAGGCTTACAAAGTCGGCTCATTTTATTCCTATTAACATCAGTTTTCCAGTATCAAAGTTGGCAGAGATTTATACTAGTGTAATTGTAAAGTTGCATGGTGTTCCTTTGTGTATTGCGTCGGATAGAGATCCAAGGTTTACTTCTGATTTTTGGAAGATTTTGCAAGAGGCGTTGGTTTCTAAGTTAAGGTTGAGTTAGGCGTATCATCCTCAGAAGGATGGTCATATGGAAAGAACTATTCAGTCGTTGGAAGATTTATTGAGAGTATGTGTTCATGAGCACGGAAGTTCGTGGGATACTTATCTCTCGTTAATAGAGTTCACTTATAATAACAGTTACCATTCTAGTATTTGAATGGCACCTTTTGAAGCGTTGTATGGTCGGAGATGTAGAACTCCTTTATGTTGGCATGAGTCTGGAGAAAGTGTAGTGCTTGGACCTGAAATTATTCGTGAGACTACTAAGAAGGTGAAGTTAATTCAAGAAAAGATGAAAGCTTCGGAAAGTAGACAGAAGAGTTATCATGACAGGTGAAAGAAAGACTTAGAATTTCAAGCAGGTGACCATGTATTTTTTAGAGTTACACATGTGACTGGTGTTGGGCGAGCATTGAAGTCTAAGAAGCTCACTTCTCGTTTTATTGGTCCATATCAGATTTCGAAAAGAGTTAGGAATGTTGCTTATAGAGTGGCTTTACCGCCTAATCTTTCGAATTTGCATGACATGTTTCATGTGTCGCAACTCTGGAAGTATATTTCAGATCTATCTCATGTGATTCATATGAATGATGTGCAAGTATGGGATAATCTTACTGTGGAGACGATGCCTGTACGAATCGCAGATGGTGAAATGAATACTCTAAGAGGCAAAGAGATTGCTTTTTTGAAAGTAGTTTGGCTAGGATCTGCCGGAGAAAGCATGACTTGGGAGTTGGAATGCAAGATGCAATGCTCCTATCCTGAGTTATTTGAATAAGGTAAATTTTCGAGGATGAAAATATTCTAAGTGGGGGAGAGTTGTAACGCCCGATTATTTAATTAATTATTTAATTAAATTATTTTTGGATTATTTGTTGAAGTTGTGAGATGTTGAGAATTTTTTGTATAAGTTGTTAGATTATTATTAATTAATTAATTAATTAGTTGATTAATAATAATTATAATGTTAAATTTAATGGAATAATGATGTTGGGCTTATTTTATTGGTTGAAATTAGTAAAGTGGGAGTGTGTAAGTTAGGCCCAATAGAATTGATGATATAAAGTTAAGCTGACACAAGGATTTGATTTAGTTGGTGATTAAGAGTTTATGCGTTGACCGGAAGAGCTGCGCGGAGAGAGGAGCAATTTTCTCGGTGTCGAGCGGAGCAAAACAAAGCCGTCGACTGGAATTTTGGTAGAGCGACCTTCAATCCAAGTAAGGGTGGCGTTCTGACTGTATAATGGGATTTATGATGTGTATTATGTGGGAATTAGTTGTTCAAATGACTGTTGTGCGTTGATGTTTCTGAATTTGTTATTAAAGTTGCTTGTTTCCTCTTGTTGTGGTCGTTTAGGGAGTTACCGTACGACTGTTTGATGAACATGTTATAGGAAGTTGCCCGGTCGTTATGGTTGTGGGCGTTTTGAGTTATCTGTATGATTTCCCGGTATAATCGATGGATATGTTAGGATATTTTATCACTCGTTGTTATGGTCGTTATGAAGTTGTGGTATTCCGAGCGGTTGGCAGGAAAATTAGTAAATTATTGTTATGGTCGTTTTAGGGAGGTTTCTGCGTGACTGTCTTATACAATCAATGAATCTGTTGATAGGAAATATAGTTGTCCGTTGTTGTGGTATTCTAAGCGGTTGGCCGGAAATTATGTGTTGTATTGATGTGATCGTTTTGACGTTGTATTGTCCCATGTCGTTGGCCGGAATGAGTGGTCGGGGAGGATGCTGATGGTGTTAGGTGCCTAGTGGCATTTAGGTTGCGAGGTGTGTCGGGGAATATACGTGTTGGATGTCGAGCGGCATTAGGCTGCAAGGCGTTCCGAGGAGCACATTATTGTTGTCGAGCTGCACGAAGTTGCAGGCTGTGTCGAAGAGCGCAAATTAGTTGTATTTCTGTCTTGGTTGTTGTGCATGTCGAGGGGTACGTAGTCTCCCTATCCCTTTTTTCTCGTACATGTTGTTTTGGTCGATATCAGTGTTGTGTAAGTTGTTCTGAGTTGAGAAATTGCAGGTTGATGATTTATGTTGAGATGCCTCTAATTATGGGCAAATATTAGTTGTAGGCTTATGACCAACGTTGATTTATGTTGAATCTATGTTGAATTGTTGTTGATGTTGTAGGTTTATGGCCAACATTGATTTATGTTGAGTGGTTGTTTGTTGTTGTTGTTGTTTCTACATTCATGTTGTGTCGCATACATCGCATATCAAGTTGGAGTTGATGCTCGTTAAGTTGGTTTGGATTGGCAAAATATTAAGTTGAAGGCTTATGCCTTGTTGATGCCTCTATTTATTGACAGATTTTTAAGTTGGGAGTTCTGCTCCATTGGTACCACATGCATTTGCATAAAGACAAGTTGCATCATGTGTTGCATTCTGAGTCGTTGTGTGATTGATTTGATTATGCTTATGTTGTTAAAATCTGAGAAGTGGTAAATATGTATGAATTGATTCTAATGTTTTATTTATCATACGTTCTATTATATTGTTTGATATCTCACCCCTTATGTTTGAATGTTACCCCTATGTTGATAACGTGTAGCTAATGCAGAGTGAATGTGGTTTACTTTCCGTAATTCGAGTCAGTGTCATTGCTCTGATACGTAACACTCGTGAGATGAACACTTGCTATTTTATTGTTGTTATTATTCAGTGGTTGCACTTTAAGTTGTTGTTCGTTAAATACTTGTTATTTGAAATTGTTTAGTTGGACAAAGATGATATATTCTTTTAAGTTGAATATTTGATTCTGTTGCGTAGTTGTGAAAGTTGTTGATTTTAAAAGATTAATTTATGTCGTTGTTGGTTCATCCAAGTTTAATGTGTTATGTATCTGCAATAAATATCGTTGTTTTAAGTTGTAATTGTAGCATCCTGATTCTGTTGTCGAAATTTTGTAACTCTGATTTTTATATAATTGTTGGATAGAATTAGGGTGTTACAACTTAGCACAGTACTTTTATTACATAATATTTCGTCGATTACATGTTTCAATAATGAACATAACTTAAAACATTACAACATAAATTAAAAATAACGAAATATGAAAACCTAGACACTACCAGATGATTCTGGACGTTTCAACATCTTGATTATGTCGTCGACAGATCTCGAAATCTTCACATCAAAACCGATTGGCCCCTTAGTTATACTACGACAAAATGATTTCCACATGCAGTCACATCTTCATTGGTCTTCAACTCGACAAAGTTGTATTTCACCCTGCCATTAATATCAATACAATCTTCACGAAACTCGGTCTTTCTCACCCTTTTGTTATCGGTATCAGGCAACAATTTATTCAACTTGGATGTCAATTTGGCGAGAGATGTGATGCCATCTAGTAGGTTGAACTCAATAGGAGGATTGTCTTTATTAAAGTACACTTCTGAGTTCTGCCTTAATAAGAAATTAAGAAAGAGACATTTTGAGATGTTTTTCTAAAAAACATATGACCCCTATTTATACAATTTTAATTTCATTCTGAACCACACAAAACTGTCTGCGCAACACAGTTCTATAAAACTGTCAACAAAATTCTGATCGTTAAAAAATCTTGAGTACATACACTACCAAAAATTTCAATTTGTGCTATATATATGATAGCACATTTTGAAATTTCTGGATCAAATCCAAACACTTTACCAAATCCATTTGTATCTTTAGCATTAGTTTAGATTTTTCTGTTTCCCATTTTCGTCCTAATTTTAGGTCATTCAAATAAATTGCTCAATCTTTCACATCAACAGCATGTTTTAATTGCCCCTTTGCAAGGAAGTAAAAAGTGCACAACATCCTCTTTAGCTATAGCTATTGCCATCATGTAAAAGTCAAAGTATAAATACACAAAGCCCTGGCAGTACCTACAAAAGACATAACCTAGTCAATGTTACTCCAGGAAATTTGTTCTTTTCAACTGTCGTGCATTGAAAATTGTTGTATATATTTTCATTTTTGTATGACAGCAATTAGCTCTCTGCTCTACCTCGCTTGATGAAGCTTCTAAGTTCTAGCTTGCTGGCTTCTAAGTTCTAGTTTGCTGGCTTCTAAGTTTTGAGTCAGCGCACTGGAGATGAGAAGAAAATTACAACAAAGTACACAACGAAACCAGCAATAAGTATTCCTCCATAGATGTACGTTTGAGAAGAGTGCACGGGGTACTTGTACTCAATTTTGCAGCATTTCATATTATCCCTTTCGGTGGTCAAAACATGGTCAACGTATCTGCAATTCAAAATTTTGTGAATTATTTGTGATTACTATTTCTAAAATAAAAAACATATTCCCAATTTGAATATGGTAACTCACTGTTGGGTGAACATGCTGCTCTGCAGAATATCTGAACTGTTCAAGAAGGCCTCCTTTAAACGATGATCATATAATAATGAAGACATATCAACAAGATGCTCCTCAAGGCCCTGGAGGACATAATAGTTGCAAAATGTCAACAACTCAAACACGCACAAAGAGAGGTTAAGAACTTCAATCGAGTAACAACTTACATCAAGGTACTTTTCCAAACGATCAACTAATTCATGTGGGAATGGTTCAGGCAAATTAGTAGTTTTCTTGTAGAACTTCTCCAACCACAATTCAGTGGGTGATTTCTCTTTCTTTCCTTTCACGGGCTCACCAAGGGGAGTTTTCAGATACTCTGCTGCAAAAGCTTGGACAGTCTGCATAGAATTGCCCGGGATTCACAATCAGAGATAAACAGGTAACGGATTAATGTAAGTTAAATGAGCGTGAATTACCTCTGATGTTTCATGAATTTTCCGAAGTACAGAATCCACACGTGCATATATGGAGTTCCGCTGCCATGCCACCAAACAAACAGCCAATTTGAGAAATACCTCTAAATAAAATTAATTTTGGTTAATTGAAAGAGCACTTACCAGTGCTACATCACGGAGCATTTGACTGACATGAGACGTATTTGAAAATGGTCCAAATGGGTGACAACCGGCTGCCCAAAGCCAATTAACAACATGTCTTTCATGTACATGAGAAGCCTTCTCATATGGTGCACTTAAACCACCTACCACTGAGGCAAGGCCAGCCAATATATGACGTTGTGCTTGAGATGGGACGGCATGCCTTCTATGTGTTTCTGAAACATAACTGTCAAACAAGATAATGAAGAGTGATGTCAAATTTTGCAAGGAAAAAAAAAAGACAAATAATGAGGAAACCCAAGATAATTCATAGTGGACTTTGAAGTGGTTTCTTCTACTCATTAAATCAAAGCCAGATAGACAATCAGCATGAGAAATGAGCAGTGTTTGCAATTGCAGCAGACTGAACTAAATGAAATGGGTCTATAAGAAATCAACAATACATCTACTCAGAAAGAAAGAGACATATTTAAAAACAAAGTTGAAAATAATCAGAACGCAATGGCATCTTCTTTTTTGTGTAGGGACAAGGGAAGGCATATGTGATTGTCAGTTTATTTGAATTGAGACGTGGTTTTTTTTTTTTGAAGTCGATTGAGATATGAAAATTCAATGGACAAAAATGGTCGAGTTTCTGTATAGAAAAACTAGATGTTCCATAGAGTCTACGCGATAAGCATATTATGTTGGCAATTAGTAACAATCACTCAAACAAACTACAACCTTTCCTTTATCATCTACATGTCACTATATCTACTACAATAATAATAATATGCATCAATCTTCAACTCACAAGTAGTGGATATCCATATCATATTCACCCACCTCAAAGGAATCTTTTCATTTTGATGCTCAAGCACAATTACAACGTCATTGCTTGTCCACACCATACTTTCATCCTCCATCATGAGATTTGGATCCACATCAGCCAATGATAGCACGAAACTGCATGATAAAAAGCATAGCATTTCAAAATTCAATATTCAACTGGTTTTGAAACAAAAATAATACCAAGGCTAATAAATTTTTTTCTTGTAGCAATAGAATGGACCTTATATAAGTATTTCAACCAAGTGACACCCTACTTAGCAATAATATCTTTTCACATATCGCCAACATTCTTAAACTTTTTTTTTGCAAAAGTCCAATTCCTAGAGTTTGTCAACTATGATCAATTTAACTGTTGACATACACAACTAACTGACATCCTTGGCAGTTGTTTGGTTTTCTTTTGGCTAGTTTGTCTTTACATCTTCAAGTTATTCATGCATTCATTTTCATATTGAAAAAGAACACCAAGTGCCCAAATAGCCCATAGTATTTAATCTAACAACTAACTTACCAATATTGTCTTAGTTCGCCATAAATTTCAAGGGTCCTAATTAACTTAATAGAGCAGTTCAAAAAAAATTGAGTTACTTCTTACTCATTTTAATAAACCTATAAATAAATAAATGCAAATGCAACGATTTCACCTAAAAGAGAAACACAAATGCAAAGATACTCTGATGTTAAAGTTGTATTTTCAACATGCATCTAGGCAAGAAATAGTGATGTACGTACATAGGAACTACTCTTGTTCCAAAAGTTGTTTGAATATCTCCTTGCTTCTTTACATTCTTCCTCTTTTTCTTGCTATGTTTCCAGTTATATGATGACCAGATAGGCTTATGCTTAAGTATTGAATCAGTTGACCCCTCGGATTCATCCATCCAATTCTGGCGGAAGAAATATTTACTTGAAAGAGATGGGTCAGCCATTTCAAGCAATCCAGCAGCAAGCACATCAGCAGAACGTTCCATCTCCTGTTGAAATGTGGTTGCAAGACTATAAAGAAATTTCAAGAATAACAAAACAAATTGATATTTAGCATCTAAAATGCAGATTGCAGACATATTCAGCTATTATTTATGAGTAATCAATTATGCAGTTCTTCAGAAAGTCTAAAACGGTGTATGAGCAACACCAATTGCACAAAGTATTCAATTTTGTTTATCTAATTAAAGGTGTCAGCAAAAACATACTTGTGATTCAAAACTTAAAAGTTAGTCAAAATTTCTCAACTTAGTTATCCAGTGAAAAGGAAAAAAGCATATTGCCCACGTAAAATTATATGACAAATTAAAAATGGAAGATTTATGAAACTAGATAGCACCCACTTCTTTTAAAATAGCCCCATCCAGATAAGTCTTGGTATGTACATGGAAACGACCATCATTCTTCGTTTCCTGCAATGAATGTCCACGCATGGCTTTTGAAACTGCAATTGACAGCTTCTCATGGTGATGTAGTGAATGAGTACCCCCAATAATTACTACTTCTTGTTCATCATGAAGCAATTTTTTCACCTGAAGAAAAAATAAACTATTACACTTGCATGCTGTTCTTGCTAAATTGCAGAAAATATTGATTGTAGTAACTGCACCAGACAATTTTCAAACCCCAAGACAAAATAATTGGTAACCAACTCCATAGGAAATCACAAACCTCTGCCTTAATTTCGTCGATGTTTATACTGTAATTCTGACCCTTTTGCACAATATTGTATCGATTGTGATTTTGCAAGACAATGATTGGTATAAGCAATCTTGAAGTAAGATCGACAGTTTCAAATCTGAACATATCAATAAAGGTATAATTAGATTCTAAAAATATGAGTCTGTCAATTAATTATTCAAGTTCTCTTATTACTTGCATGGTATATGCTAAACTGATCGCCTAACTAACATTAAGTATTAAAAACTGTATGCATAAAAAAAGGGATTAGTTAGCAATGGTTCTTAGGTGAAAAATAAGGATCACATTATACCACAAGTTTTACAGTTAAGGTATCTAGAACCCATAATACAATCTTCTACCACAACCCTCCTTTCGTCTAATATTTATGTCACCCTCAATGATTCCAGTACCCTTTCCTCCAACATCTTGCTGCCACGTTTCCAGACTCTTAGAATTTAGCAAAACAGACTCCTCTCATATTTACCAAATCATTTACCAGCCAACCCTCGTTCATTTTCCCTTTTCTGAGGTAGAACTTTATTGGAAGTTAGAATCATCTCCATTCATTGGAGAGACACAAAAGACCTAAGAAAACTTAAGGAGAAAACTATAAAAGACCTCACCATAAAAGGTTTTACAGAAACTGCAGTTGTTAGAGTCCTATGAACCCTTGTAGCAACTAGCAAATCCAACTATAGTGAAACAATGCTTCTTTGTTATATGATTATAGTAACAGATGACAATACATTACCTAACATCAGGTGCTATAACATGTTCCACCGTGGTTGATACCAAAGAAGCAAGCTGTCCAAGAAAAACATTTTTGCTTGATCGATAAGAAGTTGTGCTACTAAGGCCAACAGCATTTCGTAATCTTGGCAGGGTTCTAGAACTGACACTTCCCTCTTCAGCTTCAATCTTACCATAAGTACAGGGCCCTGCTGAAAGGTCAATCACCACAAATCTGAACAAACAAAAAGAAGAAATGCTGAAAATTTGCTTGCAACTGTTAGACACAAAACATGTGTTGAGACTAATTTTCCCAGTAGAGAACCTCCGAGAATTGATAAAACTCTAATTGACAAAATAAACTGAAGTTTAACAGCAAAGTTAGATCAAAAAAGGCCTTTCTTACCTGCCCGAGCTCAGCCAAACTTGAGTTGCTCCTCCACCATCATAGCGATAACGATAAATGTAATCTCCTTCTTGTTTTTTCATATCTTCCCCAGTTAGATCAGGAATTTTTCCATACATTAAACTATCAAGATTTATTTCCTTATTTCTAGGATCTAGTCTCACCTGCAATATATTTTAAATTAGCAGTAAAAGGAAACAAACACACTAGTAGTTGAAGATGATACTAAACAGAAAGAATTAAGAACTCAAGCAATCAGTCACTAATATTTCCTCCCTTGGTTGTTACTGAAAACAAGCATACCAACCATTTTATGAGTGATAACTTACAACCAGTCGGTATAAAGTTAATATTAACTGAATGTAGGATATAAAGCCAGGTAATTTACATTTCACTACTAAACATACTGAATAGTGGTTATACCTTGTCAAAATTTACAATAAATATTGCACTTGGCACTGGTTTTTCCGTTTCTGAGACAGAAGATCCCACACTATCTATGTCAAATATGTAGGAGTACAGCATTTGAAATATTGGCTCCACGGCTGTTGCTTCAACTTCAAATAAAGGCACCTCCCTTCCAAAATCAGACTGGGATTTGTAAAAAAAACTTTAGAATCATATCTCAAGATGGAGGCTATAGCTATTAGCTTTCTGTAACTAAAAAAAAGCAGAAAGCCAGAAAGTAATATGTAAGAAAACAGTTACCTCCCTTGCTTTCCCTGCAGGAACCATTGCCTCTTTCAATGCTTTCTCAAGTGCTATCAGTTCAGGCTGTCCAGCCTACAATAAGATTTCAATTTAAATTATTAGAAATTTTCAGATTTCAGACAAAAGGGGTATTTACACGGATGACCTATGTAAAGACAGATTAAGCAACATAAAAAAAGCTGATTGTGGTCCGTGTACAAAAATTATTAAAAGAACAAAGGCTTGATTAATTTGGACTTCAAAGTAATGTTTGATTTTGATATGCAGCCCATTGGCAATTTCTTAAAAAAGTTAGGTTCATCTAAACTAAAGCTTGAGGTTCATTCCTAAGTATTCTAAAACTTTTGACTATCTGTGTCAAGATTAAAGAAGCAAGGATATAATGAAACTGTGGTTCTAATCCTTTTATTTTATAATAATGAACAGTTTAAGAAAGCAACAAGGATATCCTTAAGCGATTATGAGTGAAAGAAATAGTCTTGTTTGGATAAACACCTTAATTAAGTGCTTACAGCATAGGTGTTTTTATCATATAAACATATATGTATAAGCTATTTCTACAACACAAGACAAAAGAAAGTCAACTTGTTTTCATACAAGTTGTAGGTTATTTTCGGAAGCTATCAAGCTTATGAATATAAGCTGCAAAATAGCCTATGAGCATGTCATAAGCAGTTTCCACGAGTTCTCCCAAACTATCTCACAAGTGTTTATGCTAGTGGATACAACAACAACAACAACAACAACCAAGCCTTATCCTACTAAGTGGGATCGACTATATGAATCAACTTTCGCCATAATTTTCTATCCTAATCGTTAATGTCAATATCTTTCTTAATAACTTCTCTTATAGATTTCTAGGTCTTCATCTATCTCTAGTTATTTGACTTCTTTCATCTGATCTACTCTCCTTACCATAGAATCTACATGTCTTCTGTCTACATGCCCAAACCACCTAAGTCTATTTTCCACCATCTTTTCTACCATAGATGCTACCCCAACATTTTCTCCAATGTTGTCATTTCTAATCTTACCACACATCCTACACAACATCATTATATCTGCTACACTTACTTTATTTATGTGTTGATTCTTAACCACAGATATATTTTGTCCCATACAACATTGTATGTCTTATCGTAGGCCGATAAAAATTTCCCTTCAGCTTGTGCAATACCTTTGTGTCACATAAAACCCCTGAAGCCCTCCTCTATTTCATCCACCCAACTTGAATTTAATGGTTTACATCCCCTTCTATTACTCCATCATTTTGTATTACAAAACCATATTATAGATCCGAGATGTTTATGCCGATGGATAAACCCAAATAAATCAAACCAAACAAGCTCTATATGCCCTTTTAACTAATGTACTTTTAAACTACTTCACAAACAAGATATATGCTAATATACTTCCCAAAGCGTTAATGGTGATTAGAACACAGAGATACTCATCCTTCCCAAACCTACAGACTCGGTGAAGTTATTAGGCTAATGGCTACCAAGCACAAGCTTGGGAGCTGCATTTCACTTTTAAAACCATTTTCATAATGAATAAAAAAATTGATTAGGGTAAGCATGCAAGTCATGAGAGAAGCACCAAGGCATCAATCTTAGCAAGTGTTTACGACGAAACTCACATAACCAATCTGGCAAAGCCATAAATCTCAACAAGGGTTTAAACAATGTGGTTAACAAGAAAATTAGGATAACAGATACAGAAACAAATCAAATACAACACAAAGAGAGCATCTTACGGAAAATGCATTATAAACCAAATGGTGTTCAATATCAAGAAGCTCCTCAGTCTCCAAACAAGAAGGTCTATGAGTCGGAAAGCTTGTTTTGAGAAGCTCTTCCAATTTATGCGCATCAACTTTGTATCTATAGCCTCCATCACCATTAAACCCTATCAAAACCACATTTACTTCCAACGGAACTTGAAACGGAACCTAAAAAGCATAAAAAGAGTGAGTGATTCTTTGAAATTTTGAATCAATAACCGAATTGCGTTGAAGGAAAACGAAAATGACCTCAGCTCGAGAATGGAGCATGCGGCGAATGTCGGATCGGACCGTATCTCTGACGTCGTGGAAGGCGCCGTGGTGCCACTGAGGGTGACCTGGTTCTCGCTTGAAGGCTTGCGGTGCTGACTCGGACTGAGTCAAGAGAAGGAAACTCAGTAGGATGAGTGTGATCGAACGAGGCGCCATGCCTCGCCGAGTCAGATTGATGAATTGACTCGTTTCAGGAATCGTTCTCACCGTGACTGTGGTTACTGCTTAGGTCGCCGTTAGGATGAGAAAACAAGTAGTCCACCCGCCGGGACTTCAGTGGGTCTGAATGGTGAATAATGTTTTTCCCATTATAACCTCAACAACTCTTGTAATGACGAAAACTATTTCTTTTTACATTATTAATTATATTGGGCTTAAGAAATTCACTTAAAAAACGGTTTCGAGGAGTTAGATTTCTCTATCATTTATTTTGGAATTTAGTATATTCTTGAGTTCAAGGGTTAGATAATCTAAAGATCTACTAAGTATGGTTTGGAGGAGTCTCATGAGCAGATCCATAAGATTATAATCACTCTCTCTTTAAAACATGTTCAAAATCTTAAAAAAGATTGTAGTGATTTGGCATATTCGACAGGAGGGATTAGAGACTTAAAGATATTTTTCAACAGAATCAGACATGAGAGACAATTGTTGACATGAGTAGTGTTGTACCCCAAAATTTCCCCTCTCATTTCTCAAGACATTTCCTCACAAAGATTTTCAAAAGTTCAAATTTGTACAAGTACAATTGGACTTTCAAACATCAAATCAAAATGAGCATGTCTGCTTCGATTTTGCATCTTTCGATTGGACTTTTGGCCTCTTTCGATGCAAGCTTGACTTGTATCTTTTGATGGAGCATTGGCCCTTGACATGCTTGCTTTGATTCATAAAGGAATGGCTATCTGCATGTAGCCTTCGATTGAGCAAATTATCTCTTTCCTGCATGCTTCGATTCATAAAGCAAGGGCAACGTTTATCTTCATACAAGCTTCGAATGGGCCTTTGTTTCTCTTTGAAACAGCCTCCTTCGATTCAAATGGGGAGGACCTCTTGTTGGTGTCCTTCGATTCAAAAAGTAGTGGCTTCATACTGATTCCCCTTTGATTCAAAGTAAAATGACCTTCTGAAAGCTTCCTTCAATTCAGAAGGCAATGGCCTTCTGAAAGTTTTCCTTTGATTCACAAAGCAGGGACCTCCTACATGCATCTTTCGTTTGGGTTTGTGGTTTCTTTCAAATGTAAGTTTGGGTTACATCCTTCGTTTGGCCATATGACCTCTTGCAGGCAAGTTTTGAGTGGACAGTGGTTCTTTATGCAAGATTTCGTTTGAGCAAAGGCCTCTTGCATGTTTGCTTGGAGTCACAAAGCAATGGCCTCTTGTAGCTCTCCTTCGACTCAGAAGCCAATATTTTTGCATGGTTTGCCAAATTCACAAGGCATAAATTCCTCTTCATTCTAGTGCCCCCAAAGCAAGTGGTCTCTGCATGTAAGCTTCGATTGAAGCAATGGCCCCTTACAGTGTTTGTTTCGATTCAGGAAAACAAAGGTTTCTTTCCTGCTTTGTTTCAAGTCACAAGACAGGAACTTCCCTCATGCATTGGCCATTTTTATACTAGTTTTTAATGGACAATATCTCTCTTTGAAATAGCTTGCTTCGATTCCACCTTTGAAAATCTTCAACACACAATTTCTACACTATGACACATAATTGTTGTCCCATTCGAAAGACATACTATGGTGGCACATTCGAAAGACTTTCCAAACATACTTGGATGTCCCATTCGAAAGACATACTATGGTGGCACATTCGAAGGACTTGCCAGACATACCTGGATGTCCCAATCGAATGACATATTTTGGTGGCTCATTCAAGGGGCATACATTTGGCCCCTTCGGAGGATGCATAAAAAGGGCTCATTCGAAAGACACGTATTGGGTGAAAATCAAGTAGTGTTGTCTGAAGAAGAATATGGTCGAAGGTTAGACCTAGATGGTCAAAACGAAATGTTGAAATATCCAAAGATGCTTGCTGGCAAAAGTCCTATGTGCTGCCAAGTACAAGCCTGATGCACTGGCCACAATACTCCAAAACTACTACAAAGTAATCTTGCCACGCTGCTCTCATACTTGCACCAAATTGGCATACAAAAACTGCACCTCAAAGGCTACAAAAACAGCATACCCAATTTGTTCAAATCTCATTTATTTTCCCTCCCAAACCTCAGCCAAACTCATCTATAAATGAGAGCCTCCATCACACATCTTAGGGGCCCCTGATAGTTGAAAAAAATTTGGTTGTGAGAAAATCATCTACTTCTTAAAACTCTCAAACACTGTCAAATGTTCTCAAACATTCCTAAATACTCTAACTCTAAAAAACTCATATCCCTTCATACATTAGTGAACCCTTCGATTCACTCCTCAAACTGTCAGATAACAAACCTTCGACTCATTCCCCAACTACAATATAATCGTCTTTTGATTCACTCCCTAACCTATTATAGAATAACCTTTGATTCACTCACCACTATCACATACCCTCCTTCGATTCAGTGACTGCCCAAATAAAGTAGTAACTGAACTAGCTTCAGGAAGATTTCGGCGAAGTTCAATTCACCACCAAGGAAGTCACTTGTAGCTCCTTCGATCAAGCACTTCAAGAGGTAAGTTTTTCCTCCAAACTTGGAACTTGTTCACTTAAATATCATTTGCACATATAAATAAAAGGAAAATGTAGATATCCCATCTAGGAAGTTGGCCATGCCTTAACTTTCGATCCTCACTGCATGTATGTTGAAAATCTCAACCCTGACTAGTTAGACTTTGGATTTTGGTGTCTAATGATCTTGTGTTAACCCCTGGCTTGTAGCTTTCGAAAATTGCACTTGTTAGTTTCATTTTCAAGTTTAGACAGGTTTGTTGTATCCTTCGATTGGCTAAACATTGAAGTCTTTTGAATCTCAACTTGGGAGCTTTGCATTCCTGCAATCGAAGGAGGCAACAATGAGTTTGAAATGAAGAGTGTACCTCATGCTGACTTCCAGGCCAATCGAAAGGAGCAGGAAAAAGACGAAATCAAAAGGCATGTTAATACTGATTCCAGGCCCAATCGAAAGAAGCAGCCAGAAGGATGAATCGAAGCCTGCATCTCACACTAATTCCCAATCGAAGGAAGCCAAAGAAGGGAGAATCGAAAGAGCCTACTGCCTGGATCAAAGGACTCATTTTTTTCTCTCTTTTTATTTTATTTTCTGTTTTGTCTTTATATTTTCTTGCTATTCAATATGATTGTAATAGTGTAGGATATTTATTTTCTGCATTTTTATTGCTTTATACAAATGTTAGTAATTAGGATGTATGGCAAGATAAAACCAACAAGTAGACAACCCAAAAATCAAATACAAAAATGCATGTAATCAAACACACCATGCACACACATGCACCTCTAGGATAATCTCACTTGTTGCCACGGAAAAATAGTCATGTCCCTCGAATATGGGCGTTTTAGCAAAGACCCTCGATAAGAGATCATAGTCCCTCGATGACCCTCGATGTTGCCTTCAATAAATGATCTAGTCCATAACGAAATTGCTAAAATGTCTCATAGGTTGCCTTCTATGACTATACAAGTGACCAACGCCCGTCCCTTCAAATCCTACGATGGGGCTTCTTAACAAATCAATGGTAAGATAGCAACATCTAAAGGAGGAGGAAAAGAACATTAGACATTTTGAGTAGGTAGGATTCTCATAGTTGCTCGCTTGCTCACAATAACAAAATCATTTTTACACCAACATTTTCCATTGAAACATTTTCAAAAGACAAATCCCTTTGTACACATTATCATAGAGACGCGAATCATTACAAAGACACTTTTCAAAATCACTTTCAAAAACACATTCCACAAACACCTCTTTGAACTATTTTTTTTAAAACCAACACTTTATACACATTCTTATAGAGATGAGAATCATTATAAAGACGTTTTTTTCAAAATATTTTCAAACCCACATCACAAAGCATATTTTCAAACAAAAGCAAGTGATCTAGCAAGCAACTAAGAGCCTGTAGATAACTACGGATGAAAAGGGTGCTAACACCTTCCCTTTTCATAACCTACCCCTCAAACTCAAGAAAATAATCTCAAATGTCTTTTATGTTCTTTTCACCCTTTCCTTATTGGATAAAAGAAAAGTCGGTGGCGACTCTTGCTATCCGTAATAATTGCGATCAAACGCAAAACAATCAAGTCAGTTCTCCCATCGTGTTACAGAACGGGCGACTCTGCTGGGGAAATTACTTAAAAGTGGGGTTACCTTAGGGATAGATCACCTTTACTTGCTTTCTTTATTTGACTTGCTTGCTTTACATTATAGTTCCTTGTTTGGGTTTGTTTTGATCCTCTACCCGAATCTGGGGCACCTTTTAGGTAAGTAGCAATAAATTGTGGAAACTGTACGGAGTATACCGAAATGGTCAAAGCAATAGCTATGTCAGTGTGACACATTTGTTGGTATCGGTATCCCTTGAGTATCCAAGGAGAATACGGGGCCGCTGTGTGGTGTCATTAAGCACTAATTGACTTTAAAACCTTAATTGAACAACTTGGCCATTAGGAAGTAGTGAGGTAGCCGGATTTGGTGCAGTCCAAAGTTGGTTGATACTCGATACTAAGCTCATTGAGATCAAACTTTCGGGATATTTCGGTCGCTAATAAAGAGGATTGCACTGAAACAATGCCCGATAAAGAAAGATCAGTGATATTGAGATTCTCTAGAAGCCGTTTACTTTCTCGGACACGTTGAGCCAACTAAACATCAAGAGGGTACTTACCTATGAACCTCGTGCAAGCTTAAACCTAAGGACTTGTTTTATTTGCTTGTGTATATACTTGTATATAACATCATGACATCATACCATAACATTTTACACTAACCATTTCAAGGATTTCGAGATTTATCTTTGTTCTGTTTTGTAGGACGTGACTCCCACTCGCAGGAATACGATCCAAGTCAATCTTGCATGAGTACCTTTTCAACTAAAAGAATTAGTGTTGTACCCCAAAATTTGCCCTCTCAATTATCAAGGCCTTTCTCACAAGGATTCTCAAGGTTCAAGCTTGCACAAGTACCTTGGAATTTTCCAGTACCAAAA